CATGCAAACCAGCAGCTCTGGAAGGAGCTGAGTATGGTGTCTGTTTGTCACCTCAGGTGATCCCAGAACCTGGTGGAGATATCCCCGTTCTGGGTCTGTGCAGCACTGACGTACTGTGCTGCCAGACCAGCTTAAGCCCTGTGGCTGCAGAACTAGATCTGCAACGTGTGCCATTCACCGCCCCGAGGACTGGTTGGCAGCGTCACTGGCTTGCCAGGGTGTCCCCAGCATGGACTGACAGGGCAGTCTTGCAGCTGAACTTGATGGGCAGTACCACGTAGTGGGAAGAGTTAGGACCATGTGGCACATCCGAGTAGGGAACCTGAGTGATAGCTGTGCGTGCCTGCCTATGTTTGGTCTGTATTGCCAGTGTCTGATAGCAAGTATAAGCACATGTGGCCATTCTGGAAGGGTTCAGAGCCAAGCGCAGTCCTGAAGGACTGTCTTGGTACCAGGGGTTTGCACTCACTTTGCAATGAGCCACACGGTTACTGGCTGCGCTCAAACAGAGAAGTCTGGATGGCTGTGTCAGGGCTCTTCAGGGAAGAGAAATAAGAGCTGAAGTCCAAGACATGGATCTGCCAGCGGCCTCACTTATTTCTTCTTTTCATTTGGTGGCTGAGGGTGACAGTGGGTGACTCACCAAGGCCTAGTTGTGAGAGTCCTGTCTTCCTCCCTGCAGAGTTGTCTCGCAGCTCCTGGCTGAGCTTGATGGTCTTCATTCCACCAGAGACGTATTTGTCATTGGAGCTACGAACAGGCCTGACCTCCTGGACTCAGCTCTGCTCCGGCCGGGCAGGTATGTCGCATCTTACCAGGGTAATTCACCGGAGCTCCTCAGGCAGTGATGAGCTGGACTGTGTCTCCACCATGTTCCCTCCACAGAGACTGTTCCTAAAGCCCCCTGGCCCTGGTTTGTGGAGGAGATAGAAAGCCAAGAGGAGGCAAGTGCCTATGGCTGTAGCAGCAGCACAAGATAGTTATCCCTTACCACTCTGGTTATTGCCCAAGCAGTACAGCAGGTGCTGTGGCACCAAACTGGTGGGAGGAATTAGAGCAGCCCTGCCCTCCAGCACATTGACTGCTTCCCCCCTCAAGCTTTGTATCATCCACGAACTTGGCAGCAAAAGGAGCTGCCCCAGGGCCACCCTTCAGTTTCTGGTGCACAAGGTTGAGCACCAGTGGCAAGTTTGTCTTGGCCCGATCTTGACCGTCTCCTCTCTGCTGACAGGTTTGACAAGCTGGTCTATGTGGGCATAAATGAAGACCGGGAGTCGCAGCTGCAGGTGCTGAGTGCCATCACTAGGAAGTGAGTGACCCTGTGCTCTCACAGCAGCTTTCCACCACCCTCCAATGAGTCGCAGTCTTCCTGGGGTTGATGCGTAGCGTGCTACAGCTCGGCTTCATGTCTGAGCCCTGGGGAGTACCTGAGTCACTAACCCACAGCCAGCAAGTAGGGGAAGAGGATGGGGCAACTTCCAGAAGCAGAACTGGGGCTGGTTTTCCTACAAGATGGGAGCAGCTCAGCTGGCTGTCCAAGGGAGGGATTGGTATGAATTCGTCGTGCCCATATGCTTTTCTTGAAGACCTCAGCCAGATCCTAACAGTGTGATGAGACTGTGGCACAGCAGCATGGCAGGAAGCTCCCATTTGCTTCCAGCAAGAGTTCCGCTAGCACATCTGGTGTTTGCAGGTCTGAGGGTGAGGGCAGCTCCATTTGTCTCACTGCCTCTCCTCCTGCAATGCTGTGGGGTGTTCAGCCTGTGCTCTGTGTCTCTTTCCCGAACACCGGTTGTGTGGGATCACCGAGCAGTGGGGTTTGGCTGCTTCCCCAACTGCTCTGAGCTCCTGAGAGCATCTCTGGAGGGAGAAAGGCAAGCCCTGCAATTCAGATGCAGAGGTACCACCCGCCGCAGCTGCCTCTTCAGGGACTTTGTCATGGATAGCTGTGATCGCTGCTGCCTTTGACTATAAGCTAGCAGGAGAGGCGAGAGCGTGGGCTGGCTGCGAGCATCTTTTCACACCATGTGGCTTGGCAGTCGTGCCCTCCAGCACCATGCTGTTTTTCGTGCTGAAGGAGGCTCGCTGTCTGCAGCGTGGCTCTGATGGGATGGTTTGGTGTTGCAGTGGTTTGTACTGTCTGTAATTAAACATGTTCTTATCCAGCCCTGGCTGTAGGCTGTTCCCAGGCATGTGGAGCACTTAACTTTGAGCTCTCACTCAGAGAAATTATCTTTCATCCTGCTTAGCAGGTGAGAGGACCTTGCTGCGGGGATGATTCAAAGAGAAGTGACTGCGTTGAAAAAACAAACCAACCAACCCCTTTGATTTTTTTGGAGCATGTAGAGCACAGTCCAGAAGCGGCTAAACATGGGGCCTCTGATTCCTCCTGCCCAGTCATGCTGGCTGCCGCGTATCTCCTGGTCTGTTTTTTTCTGTGGCTTTTACACCTGCAGTTTTCTCTCTTGGCAGGTTTAAGCTGGATCAATCTGTGAATCTCACCACCATCCTAGAAAAATGCCCAGCTCAGCTGACAGGAGCAGACATCTATGCCCTGTGCTCAGATGCCATGATGTGCGCTGTCAAACGCAAGGTGGAATGGATTGAGGAAGGTAGGAGCCCAGCCCCTACCTGTTCCATGTGTTGGGGCAGCTCAGCACAGGGGCAGAGAGGAGAGTTACCACTACTGGTAACTGGGCTGTGTGAGAAGAGCCTCGATGGCTTTGGGACCACGTCTGAATGCTAGGCTCTGGGTTACTGGCAGGCGGTTTTGGTAGATGTGATGATCTCCACCTCCAGTGCTTGGCTGCAGGGGGAAGGAGAGAGACACAGGATTTCTTTCCAGTCTATGGTGGCTGGAGAGGGGGCTGTTGGATCTTGTCAGCTGCCCCTGTGCTTGGCTCTCAGCCTTTTCCTGTTCTTTCTCTCATGCAGGGCTGGATACTGAGAGCTCTGCTCTGATCCTGACCATGGATGATTTCCTGCAGGCTGCTGCGAGGTTGCAGCCGTCAGTCTCCGAGCAGGAGCTGCTCAGGTACAGACTCATCCGGCAGAAGTTTGCTGCCTCCTAACGCTCAGCAGAGCTGCCACTGGAGGTGTGATGGGGACGGTGTCTTAAGGGGTATGAGAGAACAGGCACAAACAAGCACCCGCCTGCTCTTCTCTGATGTCTCCTGGGCCCCCTTCTTTCAAGATTGGGTGGAAAAAGTGGCTGTGCAGTTTCTTGAGCCAAAGCCTGGTGGAAGCGCTGCTCTGCTCAGCCAAGCTGGTGGTGGGTTCTGTAACAGTCCCTCACATCTCAGGGAGCACTTTGTGGCTGCCAGGAGCATACCGGGGTGACTCCCGCCGGGGAGAAAGCAAGGTCTTGTGGTCGTGGGCAAAGTAGGAGTGTCTCAGTGGGTGACAGAACATGGGAGCAAGGCCCAAACTGCACCCAGTTTGACAGCAAGAGTGGGACTGGAGGCAGTTGGTTGGTGGGGTGTCAGCCCCTAGTGAGGGGTGCTGGCTGGAGGGCAGCAGGACACAGGGTGCTGCTGCTGCAGCTGGCCTGGGCTTGACATGGTCTCCCTGAATAAATACAGGTTTTTGGCACAAGGTATTCACTGCCTGGCCTGAGGTCTTTGCTTGCTGATGGTGTCTGTGGGCTTGGGAAGGTCCCTGTGAGCCCCCAGGCGGGCTGGGTGTTGCAGAGAAAAGATTGTCCTGTGGGTAGAGGGGGGAGTGCACCCACAAACTGGGCTGGGGCCACCCTTGGCCGGTGAAGGTTGCCAGACTGGCTGGAGCCCGTGGTGGATGAGGAAAGGCTGAGGGAGTAGGGTTTGCTCAGCTGCCTCTGTAGAGGGAGCCCAGTTCATGGAGGTGCTGGGCAACAGGACAAGAGGCAATAGGGTCAACTGGCAGCAAGGGAAATTTCTGCCGGATACTAGGAAAGACTTGTCACAGGGAGAGGGAGGGTTCCAGCCTTGGAAATACTCAACCCTTGGCTGGAGCAGCCCAGAGCTGCCCTCTCTGTGCTAACCTGTGTCGAGTGCCAGTTGGCCCAGACCCCCCCTTCCCCGAAGTCCTCTCGCTTCCCTCCAGCCTCACGGCAGCTGCCAGCACCATCGTGTGTGCCCTGCTTCCCGGCCTTTGCCGAGGATGCCAAATAAATCCCCACTTGAGTCGCGTGTGGCAGCCGGCCGGCCAGCAGCTGTCTTCGGCCAGGTCCCCGCAGCTGCTGGTGCGGCTCACGGGCAGCCCCATGTTAAACCAGGGGTCTGTGCGCAGCCCAGCCCCGGGGATTGTTGCTGCCAGGCTTTGCCCCGCTGCTGCCCGCGCCGAAACTGCTGGCAGTCGCGTCCCTGAGCCAAGCGTGGCTATCGAGGACCAGCTCCCCAGCGAAGGGCTGGTTCTCCAAGCAGCTGCAGGTGGTTCGCGCATGAAGATCCAGCTGACGCGTGCCTTCAGCCCTGTTGCTCCGGCTCTGGCACCTGAGCGTGTTCAGGCAGAGCCGTTTCTGACCGCAACGCACTGCTGGATCTGGCCACCACCTCTTCCCCAGGGTGGGTGAGGAGGGAGCTGCAGCCGCAGCAAAAGTGCTGGTGGGGTGTGCGGAGTCTCCCTGCACTGGGAGCCCTGGGGAGGGAAGGGGGGCTGCTGAGGGGTGTCAAGAAAAGGGGATCAGCGCCTGGTTGGGGCTGGGGGGGGGGATGCAAGGGAGAAAACTGGTTGCAGTACACCCCTCTGAGTGGTGCTGCAGGGGGCTCGGCAGGGATGTGCAACCACCCAGGAGCCGGCCCACCCTTGCCTCTGTGTCACGGGGAGCCCCAAACCTCCCGGCCCAGGCCTGACTGGCACCTGTAGCTGGGGGCTTGGGGGTGAAGCTGTGCCTGCACCCACCCCCTGCTCTCCCCCAGGCTGGGCCCTTCCTTCCCCGACAAGAGGCCTGAGGCAGCTGTGGCCGTCCCCCTTGCACCATACCCTGCCCGTACATGGACACACGGACACATGGACCACTGGCTCCGGTAGCTCTCACGAGTGCTCTTAATTAAGGGGAGGGGGCTTCCAGGCTGCTCTCAGCAATGTCCCCAGCCTCTTGCTTGTCCCCAGAGCTGTTCCCAGCCACCACAGTTCCATCTCCATGGCTCCCTCAGGCCATCTTCTTCACGACGTGGATAAAGTAGCAGGGGACGTGGGCCTGCCCCGGTGTGTAGGGCTGGAAGTCGCCCAGGACGCTGTGCTGGCATTTCCCCTGGAAGGCACCTTTCAGCAGGGCTGTGAAGGCCTCCAGCCGGTGTGGGTAGTAGGAGAGCCGAAATTTGCTGTAAGGAGACAACGATGGTGAGGTGGGGGATGGACGGACAGCAGGGCAAGGCACCAGCCACCCCCTCCCCACCGTGGTCCTTCTCACCTCAGCTCCGGGGCTGCCCCCGCCTCAGTGGGGGGGACCTGCACCGTGTAGTCCAGGGTCACCATGTGTGCCTTGTTGTTTACTAGCAGCACCGAGGTGGTGATGTCCTTGGTCAAATCACTCTGGGGACCGCAGGAGGACGTCTGTGTCCTGCGGGGACGTGGTGGCCCCCAGCCTGGGCACAGTCCTGCTCCCTGCCCCGCGTGGCCCCCTCGGAGCCAGGGGGCTGGGGCAGAGGGGCGTGGGACGGGGCAGGGTCCGCCGGCCACCCACCTTGTAGTAGATGTTCTTGCCAGGCGGCGCGCAGCCCGTGGCCAGGATGTGATCGTAGTTGCGGTGGTCGATGACCAGGACACCCCCTGGCCGCACCATGCTGGCGATGTTCCTCAGGGCCAGCTTGTGGTCACTCTGGTCCCCTGGGGAGGAAACTGTGGTGTCCCCAGGCACTGGCTGCACCCCACGGCACAGCCTGTGGAGCTCCATCTTGCCCATACAAACACATGCAGAGAGCTGGCCCCCACCATCCTCCCCCCCACCAGTCTCAGCTTGAAGAACCCACAGCCCCACCCATGGTATGAGCTCAGGCAAGTTCTCAGCCTCACTGGGGCAGAGCAAGCCACGTGGGGAACCCACCACCCTGCTTGTGGCACAAGTCTGGGTGTGTCGCCAGCCTTGCCAGAGACGTGACATAGGTGCACATAGTTCCACCACCACTGTGGGACCCAATGGCCCCACTCATGCCATGAACTGGGGCACGTTCTCAGCCTCCCTGGAGCCACACCATGACACAGCAACTCTACCATGTGTAATCCCCTGCCCCACTTATGGCATGAGTTTGATCACGTTCTCAGCCTGTTGGGAGACGCTGTGCACATGTGCCTAGGTACTCCCCCTCCTCTCCCCCCCCCATTCACCTTTGAAGTCAGGCAGGTGCGCGAAGGAGTTGCCCAGGCAGATGACTGCGTCAAACCCGTCCCCCGGCTTCTCCAGGTCCTTCTCCAGTGTCAGCCAGTTGGCCTCCTCGATGACTGCAACACAGGGGACCAGATGAGGGCGGGGACACCCCCACCTACCCAAAAGCCTCCCCGTCCCCCTCCCCCCCGCATTACAAGACCCCAGCCCAGCATCACCCAGCCCATCCCTGGACCCTGCGGGCGCCGGATCCGGCCTGGGGCCAGCAGGCAGGCAAGGGCCACGGCCTGGGCTTGCCGAGCAGCCAGCTCCGGCAGGTCCCTGCCCGTTCCTGCAGCAAGGCCACCTGGCCGACACAGCACCCACGCGAGGGGCCCGAGCACCGGCGAGGGACAGGGGACGGTACACGAGGGACAGGGGGAGCCATGGGAGGGGCTGAGGCCAGAGATCCCCAGTACCGGGGTTGGGGTGTCGGTGTCCGCACGGCCCCCCCCCCCCCTTTCCACCCACATCCCCCCCCGCACCCCATCGGTCGAAGGACTCCTCCTTGCGCCGCTCCCAGCGCTCCTTCAGCGCGTACTTGAGCATCTTGTCGCTGGCGTCGACGCTGGTCACCTGGAAGCCCTCTTCGAGCAGCATGATGGAGTCCACCCTGGGGACAGGGTTGTCAGCGGGACCGGGGGCAGCCGAGGGGGCCCGGGGGCGGGTGGGAGGTGGGAT